TCATCCTGCGCCGCATCCGGCTATAAGGAGACGACTTGATGATGATGATCCTGATAGCGTATCCGGGCGGGAGGGGATGCGCCTCAGGCCAGCGGCTGCATTGAGACACACCGGATGCGGGACACATTGACATGGTGTAAATAATATTTTTACTACATTAACAACATTATTTAATCGAATATGCCCATTACTTTTTTTAGTTCTCCATTCGTTTGACAGTTTCATAAAATAAAATTTAGAACAACACAAGCACTTAAACTTAACTTCCACTTCAATTAAAATAAAATTTAGTACAACATAAGCACTTAAACTTAACTTCCACTTCAATTAAAATAAAATTTCGTACAACAAACAAGGAAAACATTACTACAGCACAAACACAAATATAGCAGGCCAACATAATAAAAATACATGAAATATGAAAAATACACTAAACACATACATGCCAATGTTTAGCCCCGGTTGCCATTTATTCTCCGCTCCAACCACTTATATCGTTCTTCCAGTTGTTCTTTTTCTTCTTCTACCTCTTTTAGTTTAGCCTTCACCTCCGCAAGTTCCAGTTTATATTTTTTTTACGTTCCTTTTGTGCTTCACAATTCCATTGTGTTTTCCATTTTTCTTCTCCCACCTCCATGCAGGCAAGTTCTCCACAGAACTTAATATACCACCGTGTCGATCAGATATTAGATAAATACCTGAACGCTGTTTGACAACGTGCTCTTTCAGGTGGTTCAAAAATAGCGTCCACGTCTCTGTGCTTTCATTGGTACAAACATCAAAAGCTAGAGGAAATATCTGTCCATTAGCATCCACTGCCATGACTATCAATAGTTTGATATCGTACTTTCCATAGACATGAGTTCCATCTATGGATATTACGGGCTGGCAATGCGAAAAACCATCAATTGCTGGCTTAAACGCCCAGAACACGTAATTAAATGTGTATTCTGGTGTTCCCGGACTCTGCTCAAGCTTCCATTCAACAACTGTCCCGGGGTTAAAGTGCTGCACTGCGGCCATGTACTTTGGCAGAGATGCAAATGACTTATCCCAATTACCGTAGACAATTTCAAACGCTCGTTTGCGCCCGAGAAATGCCTTTCTTTTCGTAATGGTATGGACATATTCCTGGTGGACTGATGTAATGCACTATTTGATTGTATACCTTATGGACGCTTCAAGGTGCGGAATAAGTACAAGAGAAATCAAGTCAATATCCAAGTTGAAGTGATTCCCGTTGAAGGTGTCCATTTCGCATGTGTGGGTGGAAATGTATTTACCCACTTTCCACATGCCTGTCTTCTTCTTGGTCGCACGCAACATTCAATTACATGGCCAAAACCACCTGCGGCAAACAGCCTTATATACCATCGTACTTGACTCCCGTACCTGCATCTCACGACACTCTTTTACGTTGTGCATTTTACAAGCCCTGCTTAAGCGCACTTTATCAGGAAAAAACACCCCCTTTGCAAGCACCGTTGGTCTAGACTCATCGCACATTGCTGTCCGGATTTCATCAAAATCCCTTGTGAGAGCTTCCACATCCGGCACGGTTGGCAAGTTATCAATGTAAGGAATCTCCCTTGAATGAAACGACACTTCGAACTCGTACAATCTTCGTCTAGGGGGATCTCTCTTCAAATCAGGTCCTTCCTCCTCATCCTGCTCATCACCATCCTCACAAGGAAAGGGTGTCTCGTCTCCGGATTCATCGGCATTGTTATCGTAATTACTGTTCTGTTCCTCACTCTGTGCATCTGCCATATCCCGATGTAATACATCATTTTTGGTCAATTGAGTGAGTACGGGTGGTTCAACTTGCTCGTTTTCATTGCACAACCAATAAAAATATAAGCTACTGAATTAATAAATGCTTTCCATATGGCTATATCACTTCACTTACAAGTCGTAATGTGATGAAATTCCATGATGGACATTTTCGATTAGGTGATGACTACCGGATGGGCCACTTGTAAAATTCATATCCGGCCGGTACCCCCTATTAAATATATGAGCGTTAATACAAATTCAATACGCCAAAAATATACATAATTAACACAAATGAAAATTGAAGTTTACCACTCGTCTTGTGAATTATGGAAAGCAGGGTATAAATTATTTTCTCGCTGCTCATTCACCGGCGGTGATAAGTTTAAATCAAGGAAAACTCTTTCATCCGGAACCTGTCCGGCAAAAACTGCTCTAAAATAACCACCCGATGATTGGGGGTTATCTCTACTACACACAACCTCGTTTTTTGGAACGTCTTCGACCTTCACGTACATCTCCAACATTGTGATTACAAGAAATTCCCGCATTCGTCCAGAGTCCTCAGAAAATCACTCAAAGTTTCTTCATCGTCGATGTTAAACTCCGAGTAAAAAGCAACCCCCTGCGGAGTGACGGAATACGGATATCTTCCGGTTACTTTAAGTATCACTGAACGTTTCCTCACACTCATTTTTTTTGCATAACAACGATATCAATTCATCGTACTCCATTGTAAGTGGCAATTTAACATGACATTGAGCAGGTAAACTGTAGCCCACGGAGTTATTCTCCATCACAACCTCACCCCCAATATAATGAAACTCTTATTCTACGCTCTTCAGACATAATAAAAAAATCCTGGAGAATTTAACAACAACAAATATTTCAACAGGAGTTAAAATTTTTTTTGAATGAATTTCTATACAATCCTAACCTCTTTATATAGGGAATAGCTAGCCGGAATTTTTTTTTTATATATATATATATATAGCGCCCAAAAAGTTGGCACTATAGGCTTTTGAATCATTGAAGCCAGGAATTATTGGTGGGGCCAGGAAAAAGGAGCATAGCGCCAAAATACCAGGCGCTATATATAAAAATTTATGTATAGCGCTAGGTATTTTGGCGCTATACCTGGGCGTGTCAGCTTTTTCAGTATAGTGCCACAATACTTGGCGCTATACATTAACGGCACAGTTAACGTTAATGTATATCGCCAAGTATTGTGACACTATATATAAAATTGTCACCTTTTTTTTATCATTTATTTATGTATTTTGAGTCCAAAACAACGACAGTCGGGTTCGGACCCCTCGTTAAGTATTATGCATAGTGATTTATATTCCTGCCATCTCATTCCGTCCTTCCCCGGAAAAGCCTGTTTTTGCGTCTCATCTATGTCACAGACGTTGACATGCATAGGAAAAAGATAACATATCTTGCACCATGTGCTGGGGAACTTCCGAGCAAATATCTAATCGTGGGAACCTTAACATGGATTGAATACTTTATGTCATCCTAGCTCTTCCAGAAAGAAATATTACTTTTGGCCACCTACTCATTGAATTAACCCTCATACACCGGGTGACACATGTGTAGTCTACTATCGCCCACGTGCTGTGGGACTCGAATGTGAGATTAGTTTATTAGTAGACATATAACTTTGCTAAAACGGATAATTGGTAGCGGTCACTAAAAGCATAACCGGAGAAGGGAACGGGGTGACTCCTCTCCACTCGTCGACTGATCAAATCGAGGTAACGGACGCTTTCATTTTGTTTTAACTGACTATTTTTTTAAGTGGAATAGAAGCAGGAGCAATCACCCAGAAAACACGTCGTACTCTCCAATGCAAGCAAAATTTAGTAAATTGGGACTCACCCAAGAAACACAAAAGCTAAGCAAAACTGGGACTCCCCCAGGAACACCCAAAATTCTCCAGTAACTGATTATTGCTTTAACAATTAATATTATTTTGTACATTTGGTGATGCCCTCTTCAAAACAGTGGTTATTAGCTACAAGCTGCAGATTGTAGTGCCTTATTGCACGGCTTCAGTGCACACATTTAAGCGGCACCTAAGCGAGGTGAAGAACCCAGCTTGTGCCGTTAACTGTACATGAGTCTATAACAACACTTAAGTATGAAAAGTATATTGAAATTCCACATATCACATATGAAAATACATATTTTTACATGGTGTGGACAGTGTATTGATGTTAACAGTCTGATCGAGTTTATTATCCCTTCACCATTTGTTATATTACATATTCACTTATGTGTGTTGCATTGAGGTTATTTCAACTCAGGTTATTGCTGTGGCTTATGCTATCATGATGACAAGATCACTTGAGCTAAGCTGTAAAGTGAGGGCATTTTGAGTTTTACTAATGTTTCTATTGCCGGGCTTATCCTTCGTTACATATCCCCTACGGCCAAGGGCATCGCAAAAAAGAAGTATTCGACTTCGTTCAAATTACAACGGGTTAACATTTCGGCCTTAGCTCGAAGTAACACCCCTACAGCCAAGAGACATCGCCAAAAAGAAGAATTCGACCTCGCTCGAATTACAACGGGTTAACATTTCGTCCTTAGCTCGAAATAATACCCCAAGGCCAAGAGACATCGCTAAAAGAATTCGACCTCGCTCGAATTACAACGGATTAACATTTCGGTCATAGCTCGAAATAACACCCCTACGGCCAAAGGCCATCGCCAAAAGAAAAAATTCGACCTCGCTCGAATTACAACGGATTAACATTTCGGTCATAGCTCGAAATAACACCCCTACGGCCAAAGGCCATCGCCAAAAGAAAAAATTCGACCTCGCTCGAATTACAACTAGTTAACATTTCGGCCTTAGCTCGAAATAACACCCCTACGGCCAAAGGCCATCGCCAAAAGGAATAATTCGACTTCACTCGAATTTAACTCTCATACGACCTAGGTCGAACTTGATTCACAACTAGACCTCGTTCGAATAGGGCAACGTGAAAATGAGACGATAATCACTGTTAGCATCCGAATTATATTAGGAATACAAGAAAATGAGAGTGAGAGAAGTTCTGGTCTCCCCTACGATTTGAGTCCATGACACAACCGCACCTATATAATTTTAGTGGTCACACTATTCAACTGATGTACATGGCACACCAAGAGAGTGCCTTGATTATTGATACCTTTTTTTTCAAGCTAATGCATGTTACATGTTTGATTATTGATAATTAAGGGTAACTCCAGAGAGTATATGATGCATCAGAATATTCAGGCAACTCATCGTAAGGCGTTGTCTTAATCCTAGGAAGGCTCATAAGCATTGCCTCTGCCATGTCAACCAACAATCTTGGCATGCCAAACGCTTCCTCTTCATCAAAAAACTCTTGCCCCATTACTCCTTCATCTCCAATTTCAGGTTGGCACTCTGCTTGACGCCGCGCATCTCCGCTTTCCAGCTGCGGTGCTCTAACAGCAGTAGCATTTGCAGCTGCGGCGCGAATGTCTGCTGCTGTTAGGGAAGCTGGCATAGTATATGAACACATTGAGTCCGGGAAATTCAATGGGGGTATCAGGACCTTTTAATGCCAAAGCAGCAACATCATATGCTGCAGCTGCTATCTCTGGTGTTGGATAAGTGAGAGGGGATACCACTTTTGACCTAAGAGCGACACCCTCAGCCGCGATCCACACCAGTCAACCTCCCCATTCGAATTTCTCGAACTACGATTAATGAAGTCCGCTCACCGAGCTCGACCAAAAGACGACCTCGATAAGCGGAGGGACTAACTGTATGAGTAAAAATTAGGTCAGAGAAATTCGACATGCGGAGGCAATTGACCGAGGTCGGACAGTCATAATTAAGACCGAGGTCGGACAGGTCGAAGTCGGACAATCATCAATTGGCCGAGGTCGGACAGTCATCAATAAGGCTGAAGTCGGACATGACGAAGTCGGACAATCATCAATAAGGTCGAGGTTGGACAGGCCGAAGTCGTACAGTCATCAATTGGCCGAGGTCGGATAGTGATGAAACAACTAGTTTGCTTTAGAATCTTCAAAGGGAATATTCTACTGAATATTCCCTCTAATTGTACCGTTTTTAGGGTTTTCTAGGGATACCCCTTATAAATAAAAATAGAGGACTTCCCCAAAAGGGGCTCTCTCCCCCTCTCCCTCTCTCTAGAAAATATGTAAACACACATCTCTAAAGAGATGAGAAGATTTGTGATCCCATACCTTCATCAGATCCAAAAAGGGTCCTAAGGTTCTTGTATTTGTCTATCATTCACCTTTATCAAATGAAAGAGGATTCGTCTCGCTCAAGATTGAGTGAATCTTTTCCTTTATTTATATTTTATTGTCATTTAATGTTACTTAATGCATATTTTTTTATGCTATTAAATCTGGTCATAATCACTGCCAACATTTATACTCAGCTATATTTTTCTATTCATATTATCCCCATCTTCTTATTTAATTAGTTTAGCAAAAAAGGTCTCATACTTTTTTGGCCAAACAAGATGAAAAACCAAAAAAATAAAGAAAAGAATAATATACAAAATTTGGTTATAATGATCAAATAAATATTGTACTAAATCAAATAAACTGCACGTAAATATAATTACGGATTTTGACTTATCCTAAGGTCTCTACTTGTTTGGTCGTTCTCATCATGCGTATATAATTCAACTTTTCGTATGCCTACATGTGAGAAATTGGGGATCGGATGCGGGCGAAATTCCCGCCAATGGCTGAGATGTTCAGTCGACTCCCTCCCCCTTTGTGGGGGGACCGAAAGGGAGGTCTCATTTTCGCATTTGATCCTGGAAGAAGGGAAAGACAAAATACGTTAAATCACCCCTAAACTTGGCTCAGATTATTAGTATCCTTCCCGAACTATGCTCGGTTTTAATTACCCCTTCAACTTGGCCTTTTTAGGGCCATTACCTCCTAAACGTTGATGTGGCAAAAAGTGTGGGTGCACTCGCCTACCACGTGGATTTTTCTGTCTATGTGGCATTTTTTTCAAACTATGTATTTTATAACTTTTTAGATGCCTTGACTATTTATTTTAATTGTATAAATCTTTATTTTCAGGTAAAATTCAAAAAAAGATTAACTAAAACTTTATTATTTTTTGCCAAATAAAAATATTTAGCCTAAATAATGTAGTTCTATCTAAGTTTTATTATAAATTGTATTTCGAAAAAAATTATGTAAAAAGTAATATTCTTAAAAAGGTAAAAAATATTTTATTTTAAAAAAAATACCACATAGATAGAAAAATCCACGTGGCAGGTGAGTGCACCCACACTTTTTGCCACATCCGAGCATAGTTCGAGGAGGATACTAATAATATGAGTCAAGTTTAGGGGTGGTTTAAGGTATTTAATGGGTATTGATTTCCCCATTACCATAATATCTTTGCGTTTTCAAGTAGATATTTTGAATATTATCTACTTAAATATCTACGGGCAGTAGTGTAGAGGAGGCCATACAAAATATCTACTCCTAGGCTCTAGCAAGTAGAGAATCGTGGTGTCTTTCTAGAAGAATCTTAAACATCTTGATGCGTGCACCCTCTAATTTAATTTTGTTTGACATTATCAAGCTTAATTCGATCAATCTTCACAGCTAACTTGGACTAACTAATTCGTTTTTTCAAATTAATTTTTGGATATTCCTGTAGATTGTAATACCCCTTATAAAATAATAATAATAAAAATACACTTTGAAAGTGCTGATTAAAGCTCAGTTAATGTGAGCGTGTCAAAAAAAGATGCCACCACTCTTGAGAGCAAAGATTTGTCATAAACCTTTGAGGCAACTAAACAGAAATAGAAAGAATCATCTGTTTTTAGGAGTGTACAGGACTAGATTTTTGTTCAAAAACCCAGTGAAGTTATTCAAAATACAGGTTTTTCTTTTAAGTATCTAGTTTTTCAGTTTCACATCCTTTTCACCAGGCTACAAATGCAATTCCTGGAAATGGACCTCCGGGGGCATGAACCCATCTATATCTTTTATTATCATAACAACTAGTATTTGCAACTCCTATTATAATGCAATCTTCCACTAGAACAAATTTTTGTTTTTGACTAGCAGCACAAAGCCACTTACTACCATACATCTGATAGCAATACAAAATATGAGTATCCCTAGCAGCTGGATTCCAAATTGGTGCACTCATAGGTTGCCACTTATTGATTACTTAGGAGTTAGGAACATAAAGACCAAACTTGCCAATAGTGTCAGCCAAAAATTCCCTATCAGTGAGTTCGTATTTCCTTTTTCCAAATTATGATACATAGAACATCTAAACAAAGCCAAAACAATAATGAAATATCAAGGCAATTATAAGAGATATCATGATACTTCCCAGGATTTAACAAGACTATGGACATTAACGAAAGTGAGTGTCATTAGTGATTGGCATTCTTTGTACAAAAAGATTATCCAAAAAGATATCTGAAAGTCATTAGGGTCTGCCTTCTCAAGGACGTTGTGTATGGAAGATTGTGTACAATTGGCAGTTAGCTTTGTGAGTCAGAGAAGAAAGGAACCTTCATGTACCAGAGTCTAAACCACAGGAAGAACTACTGTACCGTCTTCCATAAGGGAGTCAACTCTCCAATCTAGTGGAGAAGCTTGGGAGTCAACTCTCGAATCTAATGGAGAAGCTTAGGATGGAATAGTTCTACCATTTAGCACAGTCAGTCAGTGGATGTATCCTACCTTACAAAGTTCCCTTAATAATTCTGTACAACTGCGGAATTTCCCTCAGCCTGCTGCTTAGGTTGTAGCTGCTTGCCTACAGAAACATGGTATTTGTTAGTGAAGCCAAAATAGAGGCCATAGATTTCTCTAGTCATTTCAGATAGCCGCAATAAATTGCAACTCCTAACACAATGGTGTCCAAACTAGAAAGTACAATTTCAGAGGGAATACAAGAGCATTTTAAGATCTCAGAGATAAATGCCAAACTTCGTTATCTAACCAAGCAACCTAGTTACGACTGCATAGCAATATTCCTCTTTAACTGCAACACCACTTTTCGCTTTTTCACGCAATTTAAGAGGTATATCGTGGATGGAATAGAAACTCTATTATCTTGGTTATCTTTGAAACCTAATTATTGAATAAACAGACCTGGATATGAATATAGCATCCATCAAAAAGAGAACAAACAGACCTGGATAGACCAATACCTGAGTGGCCTGCAAATGAATTAGAAATCGAATTATAGTTGCTGTTCGTCACGCCAATGGAGGTGATTGTTAGGATATTATTCACAGGAAACTGGGATGCGATGTTCATAGGTGGCGGACATACTCCGGAATCAACCATTTGAAGTACATTCGGCTTTCGGACCAGCGGAAGGGAATGCTCGTGTGCCTGTCCCACGAGCCAACACTAGCATTTGCCGCCAGAAAATGACCAAGATCAATATAAATCAACAAAGCTTCAATAACCATCTAGTTGGGGTCAGATACAAATATCAATATCAATCAATTCAAATCAACTACACCATAATCCCAAACTACTGAGCTATATGAATCCACCATAGAAATACAAAGATCAGTAACATCTCAAAAAAGATATCCTTCATTATTCAGACAAGCACCAGAAATGTAGGATTGAGGCATTTTACTCACATATACACCGGAAAAAAAGGAAGACTTTACACAAGGAAGATCATAAAACCAAAAAATTTAAAGATTTTAAATACGGAAAAGCTAAAAGAAAAAAGAAAAAAGAATCCGATAGGCTAAGAAAAGATGTTGATCCTCTTCAATCCAAAGAGTTAAAGAATTGAAACATTTATTTAAATCCTTTACATGCATAAAGGATTTAAAGAAATTTGATTCCTTCAAGAAAGTGTATTAATCCTTTATTTACGCTTGAAAGTTTCAAATTCACTAAAGCATTCTTGTGATTTAAGCTTTTAAACTTCACCATACTGAAAAGAAAAAGAACGGAAGCCTCATTCGAGTACTAACCAGGTAACTGACACCAACATTTTCAAAGGGTATGGGATTATCCTCACCAATGTGATTTAATCAGTATCTGATTTCAGGACAAATTATCTCGGCTATGGAAAAAGAATCTCTGCAACTGTGAATTGAATATGAATAAGTCCCAACTCAACCACAAATTCTACACCAGAAAAGGGAAGAAAAAAAGACGTCGCACCCATAAGATGAGCAACAACAACAACCTCAAACATCCTGAGACGCCAAGCTACTAGGAAATAGAATTGAATTAAGGTTTTAGGTCTAGGGGATAGAACAAGGACCAGGTCAACTGGATCAGAAGCAGTATAAATGTTTTACATCCTGTAATTGACAAAGACAAAAATTTGTTATCAGGATAAAACAGCCATCACCGCAATTAAAAGAACCCGGAAAAGCTATTAGTAGAAGATTTAACTGTAACCATTTTCAACAGGTTCAATGAAGGGTTCACACCCTAATAGATGAAGAAAGAACTGAGGACGGATTTATTATACTGAAACCCACGAGAAAAAGACAAGAACACGCTGCAAAAGGCAACACTACCTTCTGGCCCGTTTGCTTTTTGTAACTAAATATTTACAGCCAGTTTGGTAACGAAATTCCATAGTTTTCCTCCTCTCTTTTTTTGTGAATTAAGTACTCTACAGTTTTCCTCCTTGTTGCATCCCCAGGAAATAATTAGCAGACAATCTGACATCTAAAGATCAAGAGGGTTCATTGAAGGAGCACTTGCAATGAAAAACTGTTGGTTGCATGCTAAATGAAGATAAGTTCATCTGTCGTTGCAATTTCAAATGGAGATCACAGTTCTTAAAGGCGAAAAGCACAAAAAAGAACTAAAGTTTGCTTGTGTTTGAGTGCAAACCACAGTTAAATGGGCTTCCGTGAAGAAAAACACTGATGAACAGAAAATATGGAAATAAGAATGCAAGAAAAAATAACTACAAAAGTAAATAATTATTTGAACAGAAGAATTTTTTGATAACCAAAAAAAATCTTCTGCTCAAGTAATTATTACTTTTGAGTTAATTGTCTCACTTGTGGGATTAACACTAGGCATGTTGTTGTTGTTGTTTTGAGTTAATTGTAAAAACAACAATTAAGTAAAATAAATATATGAAAAAGAAATCAAGCAGATCAAGTTCACGACACATTTTAAATTTATCATCCAGATGTAAAGATTACCGGCTTAAGTTTTTAGTGACTAGTTTCTTTTTTACACTAAATTCTAATTCCATATACCTAATCACAAAATAATTCATTCACAACTCTTTGTTAAAAACTAATACATCATACTGCCAGATATATATAGTTGTCCAATGCCGCCCTGATAAACTCACAACCCACTGGCAAATAGGAGCATGCAAAAGCACTAAAGCACCAACTAAGCAAGGAGAAGCTCCACTTGGGCTTTAACTAGCTTAAGAACTTAGCAACTTTTTAACACTGAAGGAGAAAAGAAGCACTAGAATATGAAATGCAATTATAGGCACTAGAAGCAGTGTGTTTTCATTCATATTCTATCAATATTACAGGATTTTCTATAGGAAGTAAACTCTAGTAATAACTACTTCTATGCCTCAATCCCAAACAAGTTCGGGTTGGCTATATGAAGCCTTAGCGACCATGTAAGGTCATCTCTATCCAATAAAACATAAGAATAAAAATGGAAATAAGAATTACTTGAAGTTCCCTTTAATTTCTATTGGCATATAAAGCTCCACATGACAAAGATTTCTATAAAACATAGGAAGAAAGTTTTCTTAGTAACTTACCACTTTTTCCAATTACAACAAATTTTGGTGCATGAATTTGATGAATGGTAATTATCCGAAATAGAAATGATGAAGCAAATATAACTACCTCTTCCGAAAGAAAAAAGAAAGAGGTCAAACCTTCTCTTGCTGGTAATCAATTTGTATATGGGAGTTGTTGCTATGATACAATATGTCAGCTGGCATAACATTACTTTTTAATACTTTTGGACAGGCAAACTCGCTGCCACTGTCATTACATGATCCCTCACGATACAGATAGCTGAGAGCTGATTTGAGACGATGTTGTCTTTGAGAATAATACATCTTAGTTGCAAGTGGATTTGGAACATCTGGAGGTCAACAGCATACAAGCAGTACCATGTAAACATTAGCATTAGAAGTTAAGAAAAAAGACACTGTAGAAAATTACTAAAAGAAGAAATCACCATGAGCATTAAAAAAAGTGACTTTGGAAATTCTTTTGACTACAGAAGTTTAGGAGCTTGTCTTTCTAATATGAATCTGGGGTCGCTATGAGTAACTGAAGGAAAAATGTGAATACTACCTTCAACCTTCAAACGAAATTTTTGGACTTGAGTGGGAATTTTAACTGCGATAGCAGGACTACCAGTATTGTCACTGCCTGCACTTGACCTTTCTTGATGCTCTTCACCTGAAACTTAAAAATAGAAGCTACAGATGAGCCACTTTAAACAATGAGAACAGACCCCAACATGAATGCCCTCTATTTTCTCCTAAGTATAGAGAGTTTTCCCATGTGCTAGCTAACTATGTGAACCGCCTTCAGGAGGTAAATCTGTCTTTTGCAACCCTTCACCCCAAGAATAAGGCACCCAAAGAAAACACCGAATTTATTACAGGAAGTACTCTTGTTACCACTCAAAAAGTTCGATAATGAAATCTTGAATAAGACATTTATTTCCACACAATATGTACGGAGCAAAGCCTAACAAGATATATCCTGGTACAAAACAATATGTACGGAGTAAAGCCTAACAAGATATATCCTGGTACAACAAAAGAAGGTGAGTGTTGAATAGAGGCGGATTTCAGATATTTTTACCTATGCTAACGCCAAAAAATGGAAGTACCAAATATCTTCATTCCAACTATACAGGAAGTAAATATATGAATAAATATAAATCTGTCCTTACAGGGAATACCCTCTCCCGAATTTGCCGGCCAACTCTTAGTAACAATATTTGCTGCACCAAAACTACAAAATGAAGAAAAATGCCATTAAAATCAAGAAAAAGGATATCCCAACAAAATTCAAAGAAATTAAGCACTTAATTTGACCTGTATATGACTTTTCCCAGTGCATATATGTATTTACAGTTTAGGAACTAATCAACTGGTAAATTAAAACGACCTGAACTACCCTATAAAGCAAGCATATATCTCAATCTTTAAAATGAAATAATAATATTGAATTTTCTTCATATATGAGGCATCATCAATAGGTTTAATGGTTTTCCTGTCAATACACAATATTCTCCAATTTTAACAACCGTTTGATTCCAAATAATTGTAATAACTAAACATCAAAAAACAGTTGGAATTACGCATTCAGAAAGATGGAGAAGAAAATGCATGAGATTGCCTACACCAAGGATAAGTGCCTACATTTTGGAATGTTTTTCCTGGTGTGAGATTACACCTTCTGAGCAATCTACAAGTCCAGGAGTAACCATGGAACAACTTCTCATGGTGGCCACATTTAAGTGTGATGAAATTCCTGCAGTTGTAGGGAAATGAACCAGAAACCAGCATAAGAACCATACCAAGAGGTAGTTTTTGCAAAATTGCTAAATATCAAGCTCCTTGGAACTGCATAATCATTTTCATTTGGTGAAGCACCTCCTAAGAAATAGAAGCTCCTAGAATTAAAGTTTCGCAACCCTCTCCCACCTACATTGTAGCATTAAAAAAGGGAACACTTTCTCCTAGCATTGAAAAAGAGCTTCTTCCTCCGTTTCACTTTATATGATGGTGTTTGACAAGGTACGGAGTTTATGAAAGAGAGAAAGACTTCTGACACATATCAATAGTACCATTGGAACTTGTGGTCTTAAAGGATTCCACAATATTTCCATAGCTATAAGATAATGTTATTAACGGTAAAATGGGAAGTTAAAGCTTATTTTGGAACAAACTAAAAAGAAAAAAGTGGCATATAAAATGAAATAAGGGAGTATAAACTTCCACTAAAAATGATTTTAATTCATCGAACAGAGTGAGGAACATAATAACAGTACCAAAGAAGCATCAAGTTTGAAAGTAAAAAACCAACGAGAATACAACTAAGCTAAATCCTATGAATCGTCAGTAAAATAAGGAACTATAAGGATCATAAGGAGAACAAAGAACATGAGCAAAAGGAGGATGATACTTTTATCTTCAAGAAAGGAAACAGTTGAAAGATGCTCCTCTGAACAGCATGGCAATGCAGCAAAATCACTTTCTAACAATTCAAGTTTGGCTTGCTTTCTGACTGATCTAGGTTGGTCTATAGGAATTTAAAGATAGCAAATCATTATTAAGCAGCAAAAGAGAAGTTATACACCCTAACACCAACTTTAAGTATGCCATCAGATCTAAGCTTACAGAAAACTGCAGCGATGATATCATGAACTTTTCTTCAAGAGCATGAGACAACAAAAGACAATGCTCATATAGGTAAAGGATACTAGAAGATGCAGTTAGTGACTTTTTTCTCTCTTTCCTTGGACGTTTCTTGTGTGTTGCACCACCATTGACCTCCAAAACAATATCTTCTGCGGAGTATAATGACTTACAAAGCTCTGAAAAGATAAAACTTTACGCATTAAACAAAATGAGGTATATTCATTTGAAAAATTGGAGGATAGAGAAGGCAAAAGACAGAGTAGGTTTAAGGCTGGTCATCACTTTCCAGACTAAGTTAAGACAAAAATCAGCCATGGTGATATTATCTTTTTTTAACTTTGGAGAAGTTAATATGGATTGTGCAAAGACTCAGCCTACTCGGCAATTTAAGGGTCTTTCCGCGTGCATCAACCATCCAAATATTGAGGTTGATTAGTCCACGAGGAGAATAAAAAGATACTGTTTATATATCAAAGAATGTAAGGAGAAGCATCGGAGAGAAGCTACTACTACGTCTCAACCACAAGTTACTTAGGGTTGGCAATCCTCATTATAAATTTGGCTCTGTTTGAACTAGGTGTGAAAAACGGGCAAGTCGGTCGGATATGCGCGGTTCGAAATCGAGTAATACACAAAACGGATAAATTATCCGACCCGACCCATATTTAATACGGATAAAAAACGGATTAACCGGCGGATAATATGGATATCCATGGCTTATTAAATATGATTACTTTTGAGAGAATTCCTAGTCTCCCAAACTCAAGGAACCCCAATTTGAGGCTTTACAAATGTAAAAATTAAACCCACTAGTTATCATTGGTTTGGTTATCCATTTTCTAAGTGGATAATATGTTTCTTATCCATATTTGACCCGTTTTTAAAAAGTTCATTATCCAGCCCATTTGTTAATGGATAATATGGGTGGATAACTGTTTTCTTTTAACCATTTCGCCACCATTAGTTTGAACCCGTTTTGTTACAATATTCAATAATTTAGGGTACATCTCTAAGCCTAGAGATCTTCCACATTTTCTAATGATCTACTAGGGAAGGACAATGTGACATTATTCTCAAAACACAGGCAACTGTCAAGATGGTTTTTGTCAAGCTTGAAAGCTCAAATAGAAAATCAACACATCAGCAAGAGTTTTAAGATAAAATCTAACAGAACACATTTATGTTAAAACTAGAAAAGATTGAGATGGTAAGGCGAGATGGACACAGTCCACCTTGTGTAACTAGTTAAAAAAGGACAGGGTAATAAGGATGAACTACTGTCATTTAACAGAGAACATAGTTCTTTTTTTGGGGAGGATAGTGCGTACACAAACCTTACCCCTACCTTGTTGCTTATCAATGACGGCATTTGGTTTCTCGTCCAGTAAATTAACTTTACATGTTGATGTATCCAGGGCTGTAGGCAAGTGATCAATGGAGTGGGTGCAAACCTTAGAGGCTAGGATTAAAATCCCACTAAAGACAAAATACCAGGTGATTTCTTCGCATCTGCCTAAACCTTGGTGGGCATAGTTACCCGATACATGTGTTGGTGGGATATAGCAGGCACCTGATGGAATAATTGAGGTGCGTGTAAGTTGGCCCCATTACCATAAATAAAAAAACTAATTTCATGTTGACTCTCTGTATCACGTCGACAAATTAGGATATCCCAGTTATCATCATGCTTCCCCTCTCTTTCTAACATAGGACCTAGCTAGCATGTGCTTCAACGATGAGACATTCTTTTTTGTCATTACGAACAGTTACTGTAATTCATTTAGGAAATGGAACAAAATTCCAGACAAGATATGGTAGAAACATAAAAAAGATGTAATTAGTTAGAGCATTCATTTGCACATAACAATTGTGAAGAGTCTCTAAAGGGGTTTATAATTTCTGGGTACTCCACTCCCTCCTCCACCAATATCTTGTCTTCCTCGTCTTTGATGCACCTCACTTGATCCAGTCCCAAGCATTCCCCTCATGGAAAGAGATGGCTATGAGACTAGCGCAATCAGGCAATCGACCAAGTAATCCACAGACATGATAAAAGAGTATTCCAGCCCTAGTGTACTTATCCACTGGGATTGAAGGAGAAGAATGACAAGGTCTGCTTCCACAACAAGGATTATCGCTTATTCCAATCCAAGAGCAAACAAGGGATGCCAGAGAGGGAACCAAGCACAAAAGTCGGACTGTTGGAGATAGTGTTACAGTAATGATTAAACAAATAAAGTATCTTCTCAGACAGTTTGAAACTTCTAGATGAGATGCTTAAAGAACTCAATACGGTTGGTCACACAAGCATTTTGAGAATATACTTATACCAGATTGGCTAAGTAAGGGTCTCCAAGGGCTCCAGACATCGACATACAATGAAAGGAGAATATGATCTATAAAAGAAATGAAGAATCCCATAAAATCCATTACATTGTAATTGTGGCATTAAGAATAGCATTTTGGAGTTACTTTAAAAGATAAAACATTTAAAGTCCATGCAAATGTAAATAGAAAGAAAAAAACATCTATTAAAGTGCAGAAATAAAACTATGCAGAGCAACTGATGTACAACTATAGCAACACTAGAACACAAGATGTTTTAAATTATTAAAAACAGAAAAAACCTGTGTGGGCAACGTATTGGCTGGCCTTTATTGGCTTCTTACAAGCATTGCAGCATACCTTTAAAACAAATATTCAAGAATCAATTACTCCACATACATGAGACTACAAATGCAGTGCATTAGGAATTATCATCATGCAGCAATCATGTAAGTCCTCATGAGGTTATCATCACCTGGTTATATATGTCAAATATTCTTTTTTATCAGTGTTAAATCTATTATAGGAGAAAATTCCTAACAGATGTCAACCATATGTCCTTGTACGAGTTGAGAGTAAACTCTTTGCTGCTAGACTTACAGAATACGTTCGGAAGGAGACCAAAATTAAAGCAAATACTGCCATTATGAGGACAAGCAACAAAGTTAAGGGCAGTGAGAGAGTTATTGGGCACTCTTTCCATTCCAATAAGATTTTATTTTTATTTTTTTTGAGTAAGAGGACTGGCCTACTTTTACTCTGCCTAAAAAAAGGTTCTCCTATTTCCAGAAATGGAAAACTTTTTCCCTCCAAGAATTCAAACTAATATAAACTATAACAACTCTATTACTTTAAATTTGATGCAACAACATTTTAACTAACTACTTCATTTTTAATATTTTTTCAACTACTTTTTTGAATATTTCGACATCAAAACCAACCTGTTGTCGTAGCGCCGGATATACGAACATTGGCTCGAGGCATTTTCTCTGCCCCGTCTTACCCTGAAAAAGCAGGGACACCTTACGGTCTTGAACCGATAACTATCTTTCGGCTAATCTAGCCTCCTCCGCCCCTCGCGAGCAACAAAGGTTAGTACAGGAATATTCACATGTTGTCCATCGACTACGCCATTTGGCCTGACCCTAGGCCCTGACTCACCCTCCGTGAACGAACTTTGTGGAGGAACCCTTAGGTTTTACCAAAAAAGGGGTATCATAAATTTTGAAAAATAGACTATTGGTAACTGAGTGGCATTAAATTCAAAAATAGTGTTTGGAATTAATGATATTCTCGTCCAGTAACAATGTCTAGAGACAACATTTTACTAGCATCGTCATCAAGGATCCATTTGAACAAAATCTGATTCTTAAACAATCATGTTTTGAGCAAACAAAACGATGTGGAACCCACCTGTTGGGTAGAACAAAAAAGGTACCACAAAGTGTTGACGAGTGTGTGTTTCATCACATTCTGGCTTTTCAATCACCCCTCTCCCAACTTCTTCATGATCTTTGCTTTTTAAGAACAACTTTTTTCAACATATATATATATATATATATATATATACTATATCTCTCTCTCCGTGTATACACACACTTAACGAAAAGAAAAAACAGAAAGATATTTAGTTGGTTCCAATGAATTAATCTCATCCGTAGGAAAACCTCAAACATGATTTATAGCTTTAATGAGAAATTCAAAAGACAAACCCAACACTAGTTCCTCCAAACAAACACAAAACCAATTCTTTCAGATCCTAATGCGCTAATTGTTCTCCAACAACAAAACAAAACAATTTGGTTTCTAAAACCGAAATAAAAAACAAAAGTCTCAAATTTGAACTCCAAGTAAGTCTTTAGCAATAAAAAGTCCGCTCACCTTTGCTGATAGGATTATTGATTAGGAGCCATAATTTAACCTTTTTTTTAGATGGTAAGAGATCCGATATATTAATAAATCATCAGCACAAATTTTGTACTGGAACCAAGATTACATCAAGAAGAGCTAAGACAAAAACAAAAATTAAACTTCCTTGTTCTTCTTACAAGGAGCCTAAGACTTCTATGATTGAATCCTGGTAATCTATACATTCTGCTTTACACCAAAAACTAAAAAGAAGAATGCAATTCATTTTGATCTTCTGTACAGGGCTACTTATATCTTCAAAACACCTTGCATTCCTCCCCTTCCAAATTTAACTTTTCTAATCCATTACGATGATTGAAGGCGCAAACATTGAATAAGGTAGACTTAATAAGCACATGGATGAGAATTGTTAGAAATGACTTTCTCAAAAGGCGGATTAGTTAAGAGTAGAAGATAAAATAGACATAAAGGATCTATATATACGATACTAGAAGTAGGAATCAGGCGTAGTAGTTGTTAAAATTAAAGTAAGTTCTTACCAACATCATTTTTACTCTGGTTAGAGACTTCAACATAAATGTAAATTTTGAGAAGTACCATACATTTTGTATTGTGGACTCAAATAGAACAGAATAGTTGTGGAGGATTTATATTGTCAACCCGAATTATTTTGGGATTGAAATCTAATTGATTGACTGAACAAGAATTTTGTCTCCCTTTTACAGTTGTTGTTATAACTTCATATTAACATATACCTTTGCCCCTCGCCTTAATTTAAAGGTCTAATTTCTTCTAATGGCAGCACCGCAGCAGCCAAAAGAATATCTTCAATTTATTCGTAACTTCTCAGAATTTTAAAATACTATCTTCAATTTCTAAATTTAAAATTCTATAATACAGTAACACTTGAGCCGAGGGTCTATCGGAACCTGCCTCTCTATCTTCACAAGGTAAGGGTAAGTCAGCGTACACACTATCCTCCCCAGACCCTACTTGTGGGATTTCACTGGGTTTGTTGTTGGTGTTGGTGTTGTAATACAGTAACTAATATCTCTTCATATGTGTGAACTCAATCAAGATATCAAAGTCCAAAGGACTCACTTGTTCTACTATTCCCACGAATATCATCACATCAAGTCCTAGGGTAATCACTTGCCAAAGTAGCATAACCCTGCCAAACCAGCCCTTTCTACTTTAGTCCATCAATACATTTTATCAACAGAGCAAGCGCAGTTGTTGTTTTTTTCCTTTACTACCTTTTCAAGCAAAACATGAAACAGAAGTTCCTCCAAGATTCTCTGATTTTTTATTCCACATAAGATGGGTAATTTATCAGAGTAGATGCTGAAGGATGTGGTTTCTTCAGCAGTTTCTCCTCAGACACATTCAGACAAAAGTCATAGCTGAGTGTTATAAGTAGCGGTACAACTACTTGTGACCCAATTTCTGCCTTAAAACATATGGCAGTCCATGCACAGCCCTGCAGATGAAGCTTATTTAGCTATATCCGAGGTTAAAGAAAACATGTATGGTACTGCATTTTATATTGTTATCATGCTATTTTTCATGTTTTTTTAATACTGACTTAGAAAAAAAAAAAAAAAAAAAAACCCGTACTCTCTTCTGAACTGTGCGCACAAATGTGAAGCAATTATGGGATGAGAACTTGTCTAGCAATAAAATTTTACAATGATATCAACAAGTACGGTGATCTTATTCCAGAACTAACAGGTGCACTTTCTGGACCTTACCAAATGCAAAGGATCAGTAAGTGGCCTCAAACCAAAAATGTGCATATCTGCAAAAAGAGCATGTCAATGTAATTGAAGAATAAGAGCAAACAGTAGATGAGTTAAATGGTAAACCAAATGATACACCTGAAACTTCAAAGCTTGCTGCACCGAGATTTCTTAAACTAGTATTTACCCCTAAGTGTTAAATTGTGAATCTAGATGAAAAGGTATATCTTTATCAATAAAGCATGTAAATCAAGCCAAGATCACCATGAACTTTTTCTCATCTTCCCCATCAAGTATCTGGACCAGAGGTGCAAAAGCTAGAGTACATAGATACCTTCTTCATCAATCAAATTTGATTCATCTGCCTCTCTCAATTCTCTTTGAATGTACTGAGCAGCAAATTTAAGGCGGCCTGCTTCGTCTGCCAAGGAAAGAAGGCAGTGAGAAATAGAGGAAATAATCTCAAAAACAAAAGAAAAAAAGATTTAGTGGGAAAAGCAAATAGAAGGATATAAGACAACGAGGAGTACACTGGACCAGGTCAAGATTTATTGCGAACATGATAGGCACAACTAAATGCACATAGAAGCACATAAAACCATCTAAATTGAGTTGTATTATTCACCTGAAGCTGCTTGTTGGATATTTTTAGCTACAAGAAGCCTTGCCAAGGCTTTCATTCTCCCACTTCCAAGAGGACATACCATCGAGCTTTAAAAATCTGCATTTTAAAAAGATAACTTTCCAGTAAATTTGACGAATTTTATGCTAGAAAACTATGTTTGATTAAGTTATGTACTTTCAAATTTTATGCTAGAAAACTATGTTTGATTAAGTTATGTACTAAGTGAACAACCTATAATTCTTGACGCAAAGGAAGGACAAAAAATACTAGATGCAGAATAAAGAGCATAATAAGACTTAAAATAGGGGACTTCCACCTCATGGCTGCAGTAAGCACTCCTAGCCTTGCAAGTTACAAGTCCCTTTTCATGGGATAAGTAAATAATTAAAGTGAACGGGCGACCATTTACACGTTTCTTTCATCATTAATAGTTGCATTTTGTACATGTATATGAGTTGAGAAAATTTTGGCATCAACAGATCTGAACTTGATAGAGCTTACTAGCTAAAAGATTGCAATTAAGCTCATATTGCATTCACAGAAATCAGAGTTAAAGCTCTTTTCTAGACTTACCATGAACAAAAGATTGGTCCTTCATTAGCATATATAACTTAGCAGCCTAACGTCCATTATTCTTTATAGAACGCTAGCCTTAAAGTTGTAACATCACGGAAATGTAAGACACGAAGGAAATGGGTAACAAAAGGAAGTCGTCAGGACTCAAGTGTGGCAAGGTCATGATAACAAGCTAACTTCTGGATTATGAAAATCAAAATTTTCCTAATAATGTAGAAGTAACCTCGACCCATAGACTCGTGTAGTGTGGACCCCTTTGCTAAGAGGATATTACAAATGCTTTGTTAAATGTTAAGCGCATTACATGTAATAGAATATCGGTTTATGAGTGAAAAAACTTTGATAAGAGTGTCACCCAAAAAAGTAAAATAAAATTGAGGAAGTTTCCCGGATTCAATCAATCTGTTAATCAACAACTTAGTCCCAAATTAGTTGGAATAGGTTATAAAATTCTTTGTGTCCATTCTGCTCTGTCGAGTATTCGGAGGATTCATCATAGTTAGACCATGTTACGTTGGTTATCAACCCATGGGAACCCTACCCCAAGTAATACTCTTGAAAACCTAATGTAAGGCAAAATTAGAACTTACAACATCAATTACTACTACTACTACTACTACAAATGTTACTGCAACTATGCCTCAGCCCAAACAAGTTGGGGTTAGCTATATGAATCCTCACTGACCACGTTACTCCATTAAAATCATCTCATGCCAATATTATGCAAGTACAAATAAAAGTACTAGAAGTTCTACATATTTCGTAAATGTATAAATCTCTGAAAGGTTAAACCACTTCTAGAAAGCTTAAAACCTACAACAAAAGTTCTAATGTCTAAACATTTCCACAACTAATATGTATCGCCAATATTATACCCTATTTTTGCTAAGTCTATGTGGATCCCAAGAAGTTGCAGGCCCTTAGAGATAACCTCCTTCCACATAATTTTAAGTCTACGTCATCTTCTTTTAACACCTTCACTCATCATTGTTTCACACCGATAAACCGGTGTATCTGGAGGTCGACGCAGGACATGACCAAACCATGTCAAGTGAACCTTATCGTACTTTACCCGTGATGTGTGCTACTTGAACCTTCTTGCGGATGTGATTATTTCTATTTATCTAATCCTGTATGAACAATACATCCATATTAAATTCCCAACATTTTGTCGAATAAAATACCACAAGTATCCGTTCTCAGCAAAAAAGAATATCAATGATGAAAAGTTTCACTTATCCAACAAAAAATGTGATATTTTATAAAGGAAATCCATAATGCATGTCTTGATATGTAGCAATACGTGAATGAAAAAACTAAATAAAAATCAGTGAGTGTTCCCAGAAAAATTGGTATGTCAAGTACATTGATCATGAACTGCACATTTGGCACAATGCCACTACTAAAGTCACACATAAATTGTGAAATTGACGAAACAATTGATGAGTTATACATCGATGAATCGCTTATAATAAAATTCAAAAATAAAATTTTCTTTTCAGAAAATTAAAATCATTTAAAAAGTTAAAAAAATAAAATTAATTGAAGAAATGGATAGCATAACGACATTACCAGAGTTCACCTTGGGCGATCAGTTAGAATTTCGAGAGAGCGGATTCGGTGGGTAGACGATGAGAATTGAGCGAAATGTAGAGCAAATTCGGGAAATTCAGTTTGAAAATGCAAAAGAACGGATAAATGAGGAGAAAAATGGCAATGCTGATCATTGAAACCCTAAAATTCCGTTGAACGAAGTAGGCATATTTGAGTGCAGAATTCACGTAACCGATGAAAGGGGTGAAGGGGAAATAAAAGAAGAGGTGACAAGCAAGGAAGCCAAGCAGCGACGAATAAGCGAGAGCAGTTTTAAGGAAAAAAATTTAGTGTTTAAGGGTGTCTTTGGTATAACGGAAAATGTTTTCCAAGAAAATGTTTTTATGGAAAACAAGTATAATCTTATTCATTTTTCGATGTTTGGTACGCAAATTAAGGAAAATGATTTCTCAAGAGTATTCATAAATAATTTAGATATAATAAACATGAAGTCATAAACTTTCAAACCAATAACCTTCCTGACCCACAAATTTCATAAACTTTCGAACCGCTAAACTTTCAAAATTGCGGAATTTTAAACCCGTAAACTTTATAATTTCTAAACCCGTAAACTTCCAAACACATAAACCTCTGAACTCA